GCAAAAAGAAAAAAGCTGGAAGTGGTGCTGTGGCTCAAGTGGTAGAGCGCTAGCCTTGAGCTGAAGAGCTGAGGGACAGCGCCCAGGCCCAGAGTTCAGTCCCCACAACCGGGCCCCCCCTCCAAAAAAAATTCTAACAGCTTGCTTTATTTTGCATTAAGTACCAGAGATCAAACTCTGGGCCTTGTGTATGCTTAGGCATTTCTATGACTGAATTACATCCCTAGCCCAACATGTCAGCTTTTAAGAGTGAAGAAGAACTTGGCTACCTCACTGTTGGGAAGGGGGTGGGGTAGCCGTGTGTGCCTTAGGCTAGAATGGGAGCTTCACATTCTAAGCCCTGGGAGAGCTGCACTGCGCGGTGTGGGCCTGGCCTCAGGTAGGCCCTGGGCTACCTCTAGAAGCCGCTTCTCTCACCACCCAAAAACACTGGACATCCCTGATTCCCTCAGAGGTGTTTAGTATACTGCCACGCCAAACTCAGAGGGAAAACAAGCTTACATCTACAAGCAGAAAGAGTGTGGCTAAATGTCAAAGAGCTAATTAATAGTAATCCAATTTTCAGGTATTCCTTCTACTTTTATTCATGTGCTTGCAGATCACAGAAGGAAGACCCACAAGTTTGTTGTTGTTGTCGTTTTGTTGGTTGGTGCCAGTACGGGGGCTTGAACTCAGGGCCTTGAGTCCTCATTTTGCTTTTCTGCTCAAGTCTGCTGTTCTGCCGGTTGAGCCGTAGTCTACTTCCAGCTGGTTAGTTGGAGGGAATAGTCTCATGGACTTTTCTGCCCTGGCTGGTTTGAACCTCGGTCCTCAGATCTCAGCCTCCTGGGTAGCTAGGGTTAGGCGTGAGTCACCTGTGCTTGGCTTGAGTCATCACATATTTAAATGGAGAAATCAGAGTCTCTAGGAAATACACTGGCGAACAGCTTGCTTGGGCCTTGGCACCTGCCCATGAAGGAGGTGTGGTTCAAGGTCTCTGTCTGACTGCTACATGTGGGGCCCTTTCCACTGCTCCTTTTCCCCAAGGCAGAAGGCCAGCTCTTACCTCTACTCAACAGAACAAAAGCACAAACCAGTCAACGCCTTATATGGAGGCTGCAGAAGATCAAAGAGAACAGGAAAGGTAACAGCAAGTCAGGCCATGCAAACCTCTTTCAAGCTAAGATAATAATGAGGAAAAAAAATGATCGATTTCTGAAGGTAGCTACATTGACGACAACACTGTAGGCTGCCCTTGTCACTGCTTTGCCATTTTCTGTTTTTTGCTTCTGTGTGGAGAGCACATAGAAGAAAATCTTAGGTGTATTTTTAGTCTATGACTCTTATCAGATTTTATAGGCCAGAGTGCTTTGGTCCAATGACAGAGGAGAGGGGCCAGAGTGACTCCCCCTCCCCCCTCTCTCTCTCTCTCTCACACACACACACACACACACACACCCCAGAATGGACTCCATGCAGGTGTGCACCTGCTCAAGATGCAATAATGAAGAATGTGGCAGATCTGTTTCCATGGATGGGGACGGTTCCAGAACAAATGGAATGATCAAGACTGCACATGTGGCAAGCTCAAGGTTTTGAAATCCACAGCTCATGGCCCTAGTCTTCCTTTGCAAAGCAGGAAAATGGCATTTCATGAGCACAAGGGGTCATGTCCCCCCTTCATTTCCGGAGTCTTTGTAAAGGTGACGAAGCCTGGACGCAGCCTCTGTGGGGTGGGGTGGGGGGGGCGAGGAGGGCCCCTGGGGGAGGGTTACCTGGGTCCTTGTAGATGCCGAGCACGCCCTTGAAGTAATGAGGTAAAAATCTTTCCAGTAAAAGCAGCACATCTTCCAACTCCTCCAGAATCCCCACGAGCAGGAAGTTTTCATTCACGTTCAGCTTGGCGCGTTCAAGGGCCCACTCCCCAGGCTCCCTGTGTGGGTAGAAAACTCATTTCAAAAACCGTTGCAAACGCAGCAACTGTGCAGAGCCCCCCACCCCACCCACGGAAGCCCCAACCCCACTGCCCTGTAGGATCAGCCAGCATGCAGCCCGCCAGACCTTGCTAGCTGGGTGACTGTCACCTATGCAGAAGGTCTGGGGTCTTGAAAACAGAGTAACTTATACCTAAATATTTGTTGAAATGCAAACACAGGCACAGGTCCTTACACACGCCAAAGAGGGTGATCAGAATGGCTTAGAAATAGGGGAACCAAAGTGAATCTATTCAATGAAATTATAAGGGCTTTTCTCTTCCCTCTCTCCCTCCCTCTCTCCCTCTCCTTCACTCCCTCTCTCATGTGCCAGAACTGGGGCTTGAACTCAGGGACTTGCACTCTCATTCAGCACTCTATCACTTGAGCCAGGCCTCTCCATCTGTCTTTTTGCTGGTAAACAGAAATAAGAATCTATGATTCTAAGTCTCAGTCTCCTGGGTAGGTAGCATTATAGGCGTGAGCTACTGATACTTGTCTGAAATGAGAGGTTTTGAAATATGAGACTCACTGACATGGTGGTTTGATGGAAATCATAACCATGTCCAGTCGTGTCTGCTGGGCATCAGATTCTTTCTAGAGAGTTGCCATGAATTGACATAGGGAGGCAGCAGCATCTCATCTTTTTGGAGCCAGATTTATGTAAAGAAGAAAAGCGCAGGAGCAAGGCTCTGGGTCTGGGCTGCCAGTTACCATTGAGGGAACGTAGACAAACTAGGGTCCCCCATGAAAAATGTGATCCTTGCCTACCCCAAAGCATCATAGTAAAGGTTGAACCAGGGATCCTTCAAAGTGTGATGTGGATTTTCATGTTGGACCACGCGTCAGGACCGTGAGTAGAATGTGAGTTTGGGAGACAGATTCGTGCTTTGTGGAGGACATGGCTGCCGTGAGCGGCGGCGCTGGAGGTGACCATGATCGGGGCAGGCTCTGGGGAAGGACCCTTCAAACCCTGGGTGTTTCTGATGCACAGAGCTTGGAACCATAAGCAAACTCTTGTGTCACAGGAAAGCTAAGGAAGACTGCACCCACAGCAACCTAATATTGATTTATTGATTTATTGTTGGTCATGGGGCTTGAACTCTGGGCCTGGGCACTGTCCCTCAGCTCTTCAGCTCAAGGCCAGTGCTCTACCACTTGAGCCACAGCGCCACTTCCAGTTTTCAGGTGGTTTATTGGAGATAAGAGTCTCACGGACTTTGCTGCTTGGGCTGGCTTGGAACCACGATCCTCAGATCTCAGACTCCTGAGTAGCTAGGATGACAGGTGTGAGCCACCCATGTCCGACTAACAACTTAATATTTAAATAGAAATGACAGCATAGCAAAAAAGTGCCACCAGTTCAGTTTAGAGCCAGCCCTTCCCCTCAACCTCCTCAGGAGCACACAGCCCTCTCTCTTCTCCATGTTTCTTCTGTGTGTGTGTGTGTGTGTGTGTGTGTGTGTGTTGGGGGGAATGTCACTTCTGATTATTCACCTTTGTGTTCTACCAAGCCAAGATGGCCATTCATCCTCACTACCATTCCTTCCCTAAGCTAGAGTCCTGTCTAGGACAGGATTTTAAATGTAGCTACACCAACACTGGTCATGTCCAGCATGATGGGCTGTGCTTAGCATCAGAGCCACTAAGGCATCTGGGCATGGCCTTTCAGCCTTTCGGGCCCAATGAGGCGTGCAGGGCAGGGATGGCTGCATGGTGGGTGGAGATGCAGGCTGCCAGCTGCTCTGGCTCCACTGTCTCCACGATCTCCAGTGGGAAGGCCAGAAGCTGAGTGGTGAATGGGAAAGAGTCCAGTGGGCATGCCACTTCTATGGCCCTGCGTAGAGGTCCCCAGAGGGCGCTGTCAGATGCTGGCTTCTTAACTGCATTCCTTACAGCACCCCTGAGCAGGAAGTGGTCTCTTGAAATAGGGAAATATAAGTTGAATTCTACAAGGTCAGGAGACTGCTTTCAGAAGACTGCCACGAGGCGGGTTCACTGGCATGCCAGGAGGCTGGGAAAGGCTTTACCTGCATCGGGGATGCTGTCCGCAGAAGTAGGGAATGATGTAGAACAACCTGGGGTTGGAGCACTCGGGGTAGGTCTCGAGAATGCACTCGTTGATATCCTAGAAGAGATAACACGGCAGTGAGGCCCCTCCTGATCTCTGCAGGCCACAGTCGAGGCAAATGCACACTTAAATGGATGTGTTCTGTCCATACACCTCCTGGCAGAACCTTCTTTCTGCCTCCCGCTACCCAGCTTCACTGGCCAGGTCCACGGATGGCCGCACCCCTCATCTCTCTCTGACTTGAAGATTTTCACTAGCTCACAGGTATCGCGAGAACAGCCCTATCCCAGCAGTTACCAGTCAGCCTATAGGAAGAGAGTGGGGCATCTCATAACTGTGGAATGAATTCCGCCCGACTTTACTCTTCATCAATTGTGACTGCCAATCCTGTAGAAGTGAATTTCCCTATGAATCTGCAAATCCAATGATGTTTTAAGTATGGACAGTCGTGTTGTCACAGGTTTGCACAGTCTGGAGGGGCTGGCCAGTGATTTCTAGTGACAGGATGTGGGCTACTTCTCATTTACGAAGGCAGGGTGTGCTCCTGGGAGAGCACCATGTTAGAGCTGGTGAGCTACTGAAACTTTCTCCCTTCATGGTGGAAATCAGAAGAAGATATTATGTTTAGGTGGTACTAGGATTTGAATTCAGGGTCTTAGGCTTGCTAGACAGGCACGCCATTGTTTGAGCCATGCCTCTAGCTCGTGTGTGTGTGTGTGTGAGAGAGAGAGAGAGAGAGAGAGAGAGAGAGACAGAGAGAGAGAGACAGAGAGAGAGAGAGAGAGAGACAGAGAGAGAGAGAGAGTGCTTGGGCTTGAACTCAGGGTCTAGGCATTGTCCCTGAGCTTCTTTGGGTCAAGGCTAGTGCTCTATCTATTTTTGCTCAGATTATTTTCAGATAGGGTCTTGCTGTTTTCCCTGGCTGTCCTGAATCAGATTCTCCTAATATTTACCCTTCCTTCGATAACAGGGACGACACGTGTGTACCACCACACCCAGCTTTTTCTGTGAGATGGTGGAGTCTCAGGGACTTTATTGCTTGGGCTGGCCTAGAACACAGATCCTTCTGATTTTAGCCTCTAGGCTGACTGGCATGGGCCACCAAGCCATGCCTGGTTCAACTTTTATTATCATTATTACATTAGAAAAATGTTTTTCTATTCCCTCTCATTCCTCTTCCATTTATAAACCAGTTAACCGATACAACTGCCATAATAGCAACACACACTCCGGAGTACAAACATTTGAGTTCACCACAGGAAGCAGGGACACAAGAAAGGAAGGAAGGAAGAAAGAAAGAAAGAAAGAAAGAAAGAAAGAAAGAAAGAAGGAAAGAAAGGAAGGAAGGAAGGAAGGAAAGAAAGAAAGAAAGAAAAGAAGAAAGGAAGGAAGGAAAGGAAGGAAGAAGGAAGGAAGGAAGGAAGGAAAGAAAGAAAGAAAGAAAGAAAGAAAGAAAGAAAGAAAGAAAGAAAGAAAGGAAAAGAAAGAGAGGGAATGCGCAAGTAGAAGGCAGAAGGAAAGAGTCAGGAACACCAAGAAGGGAAGCGGCCACACTGGCGCATGCTGAGTCTGCCTTCCCTGCAGACGCTGGTCCGGAATCTTGCAGATGGCCGGCAGCGGATCCCAGGTGGTGGCGAGGGAGGAGAGCTAGGAGGCTCAGAAGCTTCAGAAGGCCATTTCCTTATAGGAATCCATAAATATCCCCAGAGGTTGATTTATGGGAAGACACACAGTTTTCACTTTTAAGAAGTACACTTAACCAAGTCCTCTTTGAGACTGGGGTCACCCCCAGGGATTGCGGCGTTTTGCTTCGGGTCATTAGGCAGATGAATGGGGATCATCATGACCCTGCTGTGGGAACACTACAGGAAGACGGACGCAGGGATTCCTTGGGTGGAGGGGCAGGTGGAGGCACACGTGAGCCCCGGCCCACTGCGTAGCCATCGACCCAGGCAACTGGAGGACCCGAGCTGTCAGGACAGACCACAGGATGGACCCATAGGGTCATCTCCTTTTCCTAATGAGCCTCCATGGGGCTGTCTTTACAGTGCCTTGTTCCTTCTGCGGGTGTCCCTCAGAATCTGGGGACCTCTCAGGACCATAAGGTTCCCTAGTGCTAAGGACTTCTGTGTTTGGGGGAAGCTTTATTACCATCAGCCTTTTTGACTTTCCGTACTGGGAGTTGATTGAAGCCAGAGCTTTGTGATTGCCAGGCAAGCACTGTACCACATGAGCCACGCCCCACTCAGGCCCCAGCCCTTGTGTTGTGATTCTGCTGTTGAGATACGGTCCTCTCCCTCCCCCTCCACAGCCAGCTTACAGTCACCCTTTTACAGTATACTTCGTAGATATTGTGAAATGATTATGTGATTTTTTTATCTTTAAGCTTCTAGGGTTTAATTCTTACCTTAAAACTTTCTCAAGCATTGTTGTTATTATGATGGTAACTTAAATGAGCCGATCTGATTTGCTCCTTTGGTCCCTAGATCTTGCTGTATACTACGTGCACCCCTATTATGGCCTCTTCCACCCCTACTCTGCTCACAGCCCCACATCACTAGGAAAAGGACAAGCTAGTCCTTCTAAGGGAAACATTGCTGGCAACTATGACAATCCTTTTAGTTGCCCAAAGCTATTAAAAAATTACATTACCATCGTTGGAATTTGTTGTTAAATTCTACAAGCTTAAAAAACATATGGCCTAGAATAAATTCCAATAAAAATAGAATAAATTCCAATAAAAATAGTCCTTTTAAAGCTGGGTGCTGGTGGCTCACACCTATAATCCTAGCTACTCAAGATGCTGGGATCTCAGGATCATGGTTCAAAGCCAGCCCAGGCAGAAAAGTCCATGAGACTCTTATCTTCAATTAACCACCTAAAAGCTGGGAAGTGGAGCTATGGCTCAAATGGATAGAGTACTAGTCTTGAGTATAAAAGCTCAGGGATAGTGCTCAGGCCCTGAGTTCAAGTCTCAAAATTGGCATGCGTGTGCGCGCACGCGCGCGCGCACACACACACACACACACACACACACAGAGTTTTGGCAAGTAAAAGGAAATTTGGATTCTGGCCTCAAGTCTACAACTTATCAGTTGAGTTCCCTTACGTAACCATGCCAAGTACAAGCCTCAGTTTCCGCGTCTATACGAATAGGTCTGAACCATACAACTTTAGTCTATAAGCCTGTGGATTCAAGGGGCCCATTCTCTGACACAATTAACTTGTAAGACTAGTTTTGTGTACTGAAGATCTAGAAGGGGTAGTAATTTCTTTGGCTCCCTAAGTTACAAATTAATAAAGGTTTTTACTCAGCATTTACCATGCAAACCTTTTCACTTTTCAAGAAAGAAACATTGAGAAAAGCACCATGATTATTATCAGACATCTCATTTCCAGTGTTGGCTGTACCATCTGTTACATTTTAGGCAAATATCTACTTGCTACAGGCTCCATTTCCTCCTCTATGAAGTGGAGATGATAGTAATTGTCAAGTTGATCCCTCACTAAGATTAAAAGTCACCGGGTATTGGTAGATTGAGCCTGTAATCCTAGCTACTCAGGAGGCTTAAATCTGAGGATCCTGGTTCAAAGCCAGCCTGGGAAGAAAAGTAGTTAGACTCTTATCTTCCATTAACAGTAAAAACTGTAAGTGGAGATGTGGCTCAAGTGGTAGAGTGCCAATCAGCCTTGAGGGAGAAATCCAAGCAAGAGTATGAGGCCCTGAGTTCAAGCTCCATTGGCATACATACAAAGAAAAGATTACAAGTCAAATATGCTAATTATTTTACCTGTTACTCAACTCTTAAGATTATATTCTCTCTATTATACCACTGACATTTTAACCCTTTTTTCCTTTAGCTTATATTTAAAAGGACCATTCCTGGAGACCATTCCAGTAGTGTTTTAGACAATAATTTTTGTTACTGCACCGAGAAAACAGAGAGGAAGACAAATATGAGATGAAATATGTTCTTTGTTATTAAAAAAATCAAATCAATTTGTTGGCAAAAATAACTCCCGATGTTTTAAAGCAACATTCCCTCTAGTGGAACTTGTCACTTCAAACCAGAAAGCAATATGGTGTATAAAAAGCTCTTTTCCAGCGTGGATTGAACATGAGCACAGGAGCTGATCTTCACACTAGGAAGAGCACAAGTGTTTGAGAAAAGCTCAACAGTCAAAGGACACAATGAAGGACAATTTCCTGTGCTGGCCGACAGCTATATTAGCAATAAAAGAGCGCACGATTACGGAGTGTCACTTCCCACTGGGGCAACATGGAACTTTTGACCCGTAGGTGGGCCATGAGAAGCAGACTATTAAATTTGATGGGTTAGTCAATTTAGATAAAAGGAATGGATGTGGTCTAAGCTAACTTGTACTGCATCTCACTCTGCCTTGTAAGCCTTTTCCAAGCCTTGTTAAAAACAAAATCAGAGCCAGAACCGGAAGAGTCAGGCGAGACTTTTCATGAGGCTTAATGGACGTAAAGTGGCAGGTGGTCAGACAGCCCCACCTCTCCCATTCCATCCCTGTCAGTCCACATCTTTCTGGGAGCCATGGGAAGCGCCCTTCAGAATCCTCAATATAGCATCCCGGGCGGGATGCTGGCTGGAAGACACCTGTGACATCTATTTTGGTGGTTGTGGGGTCCTTTACTCTATTTCTGAGTTTCTGGCTGGGTGTCTGACTATAGGAACACAAATAAAGACCTGGATAATAAGAAAGGGGCGATTCTATATTTACTGTATCAAACAGCCTTTATGCACCAGGGGCCCAAATCGAGGGAAGTTCCTAAACTCTGACATGGAAACACAACCTCAAGAGGCCAAATATTTTCGGAAGTCCTCCATTCTTGCTCCAAGATTTGGAATTTAAAGTTTCCAGTGCATTACACTGAAGAAAAAGAAGCAGCTACAGTCTGTCCTGAAATGTGAACATGAGAAAGTTCAATCTGATGTTCAGCTATAGTCACTGGGATGCAGTAGGTCCTCTTCAATGAATGCAGTCAACTTTATTGAGCATTTAATACGATAAAGGGCAGGATCCTGGGT